TCGTGCTCGTCTTCAAAAAATGGGAATCCATATTGATGGGAGCTGTGTGATTTGCAATGCAGCTAATGAAACACGTGATCACTTATTTTTTTATTGTTGTTTGGCGAATTACCTATGGGAGAATATTATGACTCTATCAGGATTACAGAAAATATTCTTGTCATGGGAAGATATGGTTGCTCAAGCTTGTGAAAATGGAAAGGAAAATCTCTCCTTATTACCATCTTAAAGATTGCTTAGTCTACATATATTTACACTTTGTGAGAAGAACGAAATCGTAGAATTTTTAAAGGTTGCTCAAGAACTGCTGATGGCATCCTCAAAACTGTCGAAGACATTGTTGGAATACAACTTCGAGGAAGAAACATTAACCGTTTAGATAGTGTCAATATCAATCTATGTAATTCTTGGGATATAGCTTAACCTATCATTCTTTTTGTAAGTAAATTGTAAATGTTTTGTGATTGGTGATTGGTTGTTAATGTTTTGTAACTGACTCTTCTTTGGGTAATAAAATTATTTATCCAAAAAATAAAGTATGTGGTATAAATAGATTTAATATCATAATATTTGATTTTTTTCTTCTTCCTCTTAGATATATAATGAATGAGATGAGGTTTTATTTTTATTAGTTTCCTGTATAAAAAGATCACATGTCCTGGAGTGTCTCTATATATGATTTATGCCTAAAAAAGATATGAAAATAATAAGTACGTGCATCAGTTGGACCGGTTTTATATAATAATTAAATATTTGGGAAAATCAAACAAGGAAACGGACAAACATTTACGGAGTGTTAGGTTCAAGATTGTGGGATTCTCGTGGGATGGGAATCTCACATTCTCATGTTTGGTTGGCCGGGAATCTCATTCCCGGTAATGTTTTATTACCAATAGTAGATTTTTTAGGGTATATTATCGGGAATGTCATTATCTCCTTTCCCTTAGGTATTGTAACATTATCGGCGTTTTGGACTAAAATGCCCTTAAATTTTTATTTTTTTTCAAAAATATCATTCTTCTGTCATTGAATAATAAAAATTCTACGAAGGTTAAATTATAAATTTATCCTTAAATTATTTTAGATTTACAAAAAAAATCTATAATTAAAATTTTATATGAAATTCAAGAGTTAAAAAAATTTACCCTTTCATTAAACTTTTTTTATATTTTTAATTTTGTAAAAAAATTATATAAATATTATGAATTTAATTTTTTAAAGAAAATATATAAATATTTTATAATTTGTAATATTATAAAATATATAATAAGGACAATTTAGTCAAATATACATTCTAATAATCTTTTATTCATTTAACCAAACACGATAATCTTACATTCCTGTTAAACCAACTAAACACAAAATACAACATTCCCAATAATCCTATTCTCTAGTAATCTTTTATTCTCACTAATAATCTTACATGCACTCTTAAATTTTGCGGCTTTGCCTTGTATTCACGACGTGTCAACAATTAATACAACAAGGCATGGGGGTTTCTGACAATTGGACCGACTTGGAATAATAATTGACACGTCCGGACAATAATTGCAAATATACGAGTTAGATAAATAAATGCATGTTCTTAGCATTTTTGTGCCTGCGCCGGAGATTTGGTAACTGACAAGTGGATTGTTTATGGGATGTCCGGCCTCCATATATCAATTGGATAAATCAACAATTAGTGGGGCAACTGTGGGTTGTGATCGAATGAAGGAAGTCCGAGACTAGTTCTATAAAGATTTTAAATATTTTTAAATATTTTATTTATAATTTTTTATAATTTTATTCTTTAAAAAAATTCTAAAACTCACCATTAACATAATTTAAATATTAGGATAAATTTTATTAATATTTAAATTGATAAAAATCTGAAATATTATTTAGACTTACATAATAATCACCCTTATTCTTCAAATATCAACTAGTATTTTTTTAACAATGGTAACCGAATTTTATTAATAAAAATAGATGAATCAAAATTACAACGCATTTAAAGAAAAAATTAGAGACAATGGTCATCAAAAACTCATATATAAAATAAAAAATATTAAACATAAATATACAAAGAGATTGAAACCTTCCAAACATAAAAAAAATACAATAACCTTCTTAAAACTTATTGTCTCTGTCGAACGAGACGTTTTACGATGTCATAAAGGAGTGGTGAGCGAATCAAATAATTTGACAGACTATTTCGCTACACAATTCTGATTATATCGGCAAACGATCATTTACAAAATAGGGGATCTGACAATACGTGACCACTGACAAGTCAATCAGAAAATAAATGTCGTGATAATCTTTGCGAAAGCATCAACACGGCTGTAGAAGTATGAGAAAAACTTATCGAAAATCATAAGGAATAGAAAAAGACGATGCAATAATATTGAGAGAAATTTTTTTAAATAAACATTACCATGAGATAATTATAGAAAAGTGGAAAATCTTTTTGAAAATCAACTAGTATTAATGTCATGCAATTTGACCATTTCTATGATAGCTTACATTTGAATTCTTTTTGTGCTGCCCAAATACTTAATATAATCATCACCGTATATTAATAGTTGTAGCGTCGGTCATTAATCAAAGCAAGATATTTTTTACTGTGCCCGTCCCATTATCTGGTGTGAACTATGTTGCAACTGATGGTACTGTCATTTCATTTAGTATGAAACCTTCCATCAAATTACATCATCACACACTCCTCTGTAATTTATCTCTCTTCCTGTATAATTACTATTTGGGTAAATTACGCATTTAGTATATAAACTATTAGTTTTGATTCATTTTAGTATCTATTTTTTTCAAAATAATACCTAACGTTTAGTTTTCATTTCATTTTAGTATCAGTCGTTAAAAAACTTAACATGATTAGTACCTAACTATTAGTTTTGATCCCTTTTAATACCTAAACTTTTAATCTGTTCAAAACTTAATGTTAAATTTTGAATGGAGTACTAAAACGAAACAAAAACTAAATTTTTAATAGTAAGGGTTCTAAAATGAAATAAAAAAATAAACTTTAGGTATGATTTTGAAATAAAAAATAGATACTAAAATGGATTAAAAATAATAGTTTATATACTAAATGCATAATTTATCATTGTTTTTCTAGACAATGACATCTTGATTTTATTATTAAAAATAATTTACAACGTACCCAAACATACAGAGAAAATTAGAGACAATAGTCACAAAAAAATCATATATAAATAAAAGTATTAAGCCCAAAGTACGAAGAAAAATAAAACTTTCTATAGAGAATGGCGACCAACATCAAAATAACCCACTAATCTTCATAAAAGCTTATTGTCTCTATCGAACGGGATGGTTTATGAAATAATAAAGGAGTGGTGAGGAGTGGTAGATCTAAAAATATTTTTTAGGGTGAGAACATATACGCTATCGACATAAAATTTTTAAATAGAGTTGATACAAATAAAATTTCAACATGAACACCATAGGTAAAATAAGTAACTAATCAAATAAAACTCAGATTTTAGGATGGGCACAAAAATTTAAGGTGGGCACTATCAGTAAAATAAGTAACTAATCGATGAAAAATCAGATTTCATGGTGGGCATGTGCCCACTCTCACCAAGATGTGGCTCCGCCACTGATAATGAGCGAATCAAATTATATGGTAGGTTGCTTCGTTACACAATTCTGATTATATCGACAAACAACATTTTACTAAAGAGAGAATTTGACTATACGTGACTAATGATAAACCAATTAGAAAATAAACGTCGTGATGTTTTTTGTGTAAACACCAAAACGATCTCAAAGGTATTAAAGAAAACATATCAAAAGTCATAAGGCTTGTGCCACAAGAGCAGAAAAATCACATGTCATAGAAGCATAGAAAAAATTATCATATAGACATATTCTTATTGAAAATAATAAAAAAATTCAAAAAAGAAATAAAACAAAAGGCGTAATAAAAAAATATAAAAAATGAATAACTATCGGTAATTGACAATTGATATTAAAATTGATGTTACGGTGAAGTAATTAAAAAGAAAGAAAAGGGAAAAGGTGACAAAAATTGTTAGAAAGAAAACTAAATTAAAGAAAGGGAAAATATTGATGTAATTCAAATTAACATATACGAGTTAATATTAAAATTATGCATACATCTTAAATGAATTTTAATTTTACTGGTGATCGTGGGTTATAGATAATTTTATTTCTTTTTTTCAAGTTTTTAATAGTTATATGTTTATGATATAATTATTTCGTGTTTTTATGATATTTTTCTTTTGTCTTTCGATACGTTTTAAGTTTTTTTATTAATCATTTGACTATTTATCTGTGGTCAAATCTATTCGTAATGATATTTTGTTTAAGGTTTTTTAAATAATTCAAATTTTTTTCTTATGCGATCCTTGTATAATCTCAGTGACTATTTTTTATACCATGATTATAAAAAATATATAATTTTTTTATAATTTTAAATATTTTATTTTCCTAATAAAATTATTCTATTCACGCTAAAAAAACTCTTAAAACTACACACCCATTATGAAAAACTAAACAAACCAAAACTATGACACCACACAAAAACTTCAAAAAAAATTATGAAACACGAACCAAATCACCTAAGTGATTAAAAGAATGATTTTTATTCTTAGAAGTCTTGTGTTCGAGCACTAGTGACTATAACAAGGTGATTGAGCATTCATTATTAAACAGTTGAGAATAAATTAAACATATACTACTACTTTATAATAGACCTGTCCATTAGCAAGTGTAACCTGTGATATATCACATGACCTCAAGTTTTGGGGTCGATGCTGAAAAAGTATACTAACTCAAAATTTGGCCTCAAAATTCTACCTTTATTATTTGAACTCGAAATAATTAAAAATAATATTCCTTCGATCAACTAGGCTACTTAATGAACTCAGCTATTGACAAATTTAAAAGATATCAAAGCAACAATAATGTATATTATTTGAACGGACATACTAAAATCACAATCTTAAAATCCCCAATATGATGAAAACATTCGATCAATTTCTGCCCTAGAACTCATATTGCTCTTGTTTAGTGTACTAATGCCAGTGATTAGAGGGGACGCTGTTAGCAAGTTCACCAAATCTATACAGAGCACAATATCACCATTAGCCCTCTTGTTCACCATTTAACCCTTTATGTATACCCACACAACATCTCCACTCTGAACATTTGAAGCTGCAGCAGGAACAACCCAACAGGCATTTTGGCCATTCCGGTTTCCAACAACAAAACGACTTCGGCCACCGGCAACATCTGCATCTTGGTTTCGGACATTCGGGGCATTTAGGTTGGCATAATTTAATCTTACAGCACTTCTCACTGGTAACCGAGTTGCCATCTGACCTTGCCGGTAAACTGAGACTCTGCCGAATCCTTTTAAGGCGAATTTCCGTTGTCGTGTTCTCCATTTCATAAACAAACTTGCAAAGATGGCGAATGTAATCAGGGTATAGCTCCAAGTTGCAGTGACCACCTCCTTTGATCCACAAAGGCTCGTATGGTTCCCTTGCCATTTTCCAAAGTCCATTTCCATGCAGCCAATTGACAACGTCATCGTCCGTGCCCTGATTAAGATGTTTGATCAGACCAACTTAGAAGCTCGATACGAACACAAAGTTTCGAGGAAAATAAATGACATTAACACATGCACTTGGCAGATACAGCAGGAACCATATATAAACAGAGTCCATGCAGGCGCTAATGCAAAACAGGAATTTATCAAAGCAAGTTACAACGCTAACCAAAATTATAGTTTAAGCAACAAAACAAGTGCTAATCAATTCGTTGTATTACGGAACACATCACAACGAATTTGAAAGGTACTTACATGTATTACAAGGACAGGACACTTCACCTTCTGAATCTTATTGTTGTTCTGCATTTACGTAGAATGTAATTAGCTCAAGCATAGCAGCAGATACATAAGGTACAAACACATCAATGCTGTTTAAATTTTGTTCACACGTTATTAACATTCCCAACAATGTCAACCAACAAACTATAGGTTCGCTCTTATAATCAACAGTGTTGGTATCTTCCTCAAAATGCAGACATTCATAGATCATTACCTGATAAATGTCAAAGCAGAATGAAAACTTGACATGGCAGAGCACACGAAGGCCAGAAAGAATGCCACTATGCAAAACTACACCTCTTAGCCTTGGTAGCTTAGCTGCCAAATGCAACGTCGGTCCACTTCCGACTGACTGTCCATATAAAATCAAGTCTTCCTGACTAACTCCGTACTCGGTCTGAAGACAATGATACACCGCCTCTATATCGGCATAAGTGTTCAATTCACTTGGCTGGAAACCATTAAACAAAAACTTCAGCAAAGACATCACAAATAGGACAGCTCAAGAAGACTAAACACAGATTTCAGATCCATTATAAAATAGTCGATGATCGTCCCTGCGTATGCATGACCGGTAACAACTATAATTAGAGCAATGCAGCATTATAAAAACGATGAGCTACCTTCCCAGTAGATGCTCCATAGCCAGAATAGTCATACCTAGACCAATTGATAACATAGTAGTAAATAGCAGAGTAAAACAACAGCTAAAGTGAAAATGTAGCGTTTCCTCAAGATCAAATTGTACACAAATTGAAGCTAAAGTGATAAACAATTGTACATCTCTCCAAAGAAAAATGAACACCTCATAAAGCACAAAGGTTTAAGAGTGAAAAACCAATTACTTTATGTAGGTTAAAACTAAAAAGTGATTCAGAAGAAGGAAAAGTAGAAATGACTACAAGCCATCAAAGCATTAACCCATTTTTTACCTTAACTTTTTTTTTATTTTAGCAAGAAAGAACAGAAAAGTAAAAGAATTTCACTAGTAGTGCTAATTACAGATCTAAGACAAATAAGACCATTCAGAAGCAAAGTAGTGAAATATGGTAAAAGAAACCATGAAAGATAAGATTTACATGGTGGAAAGGTAGAACCAAAAGTTTTATCTCTTTCTTTCTAAAGGTTAAATTTGTGAAAGCATCAACCTAGATAAATATACTACAAAAATTAAAAGAAATGCACTTAGAGAAATGCAAACAAGAATGACCAAAGCCAAGAACTTACACAAGCAAAATGCTATTGAGTTCCAAGAGCAGTTGACCATAATTTTCAACCAGAAAATAAGTGGGGGGAAACAAAGAAATACTGACCCCATGAGATTGACTCTGAGGTTGACCTTGAGCTGGACAAAGAGGTCATAGAGTTGGCCAAGGTCAGCAGCATTGCCATGAGAATACAGCACAGTGAGGCGTGCATATGGGTTTCTAAAGTAAAAACCAACAATCTTGTTCCCACGTTTGGTGTCGATCAAAAGCACATCCAAAGAAGGATCATCGGCGACGGGAGCAGGAGTCGAAGAAGAAGAAACCACCGTGAGTTTCCCATTGTCACACTTCTTAACCTGATAAGTAGGTGGAGATGGTGGGAAAAAAGCAAACTTTGCAGCCAACTGAGACAACACACACCCCATTCACCCCCCAAGAAGAAGAAGAGCTAAGATAACCCCAACTCATTGAAAAAGGAACAAGCTTGAGTGCATGACAGAAAAAGGAAAGGGAAAATAAAAGTGGGGTCTTTCAGTACTGTTTAGGTAAGGAAACACTAAAGGAAAAGCTCGTAGCAATAAGATGGACTTTAAAGGGGTGTCTTTACTTACGATGCAGTGGTTGGGGAAGAAGGTAGGAGGTACAAAGAAGATGAGATTTTGCCTAGCTAGATTTGTGAAAATAATTCAGTTTTTTTCTCTTTTTAAATTTTAATGGGGTTGGATTCTGCAGGATGATTGGATCTAAGAGTTTTTTCAAATGGAGATGAATAGAGATAGAGTTTGATGGAGTGAAGTGTATGAGTTGGTAAGTGAAGTGAGAGAGAGGGGCTTCGCAGGTTTGTTAATGAAGGTGGAAAACTATGTTTTTTCCAATGAAAGATCGTCAATTGTTGTGTTCATAAAAGGAGGGGGGGGGGAGAGAGAGGAAGAGAAATGGGTTTAGTTTTTGCTCAACTTGAAAGTTGAAAACGATGTGCTCTTTTGAAGAACATAAATGCAGCAAAAAAAAAAACTTGAAAAATATGAAGTCTGAAACTGATATGTGTAAGTCACTTCATTGCGTGGCAGTAGAACAGTACAGAGAGGTCAATACTAAAATCTCTACTACATGACAAATTCCTCTGTCTTTGTCTCTTTCCTCTCTTGCGAGTATACACGCTACACCTTGCGTGCCTATATATATATAGTCAATTATAATTAGGTTTGAACTATATTTAAAGTTTCAATTTTTATATCTAAAGAATATTTTATTAAAAATATACGTTAGATATTTTATCATTAAATTTTTAAGCGTAAATCGTTAAAAAAATCATTAACTTACACGTATTATATTTATATTTTTTTGATTTTTTAAATAAATTGTATTTAAATATATTTTTTAAGAAATTTCAACATGATACGTGTTACTTAATAATTTTTTAACGATAAACACTTAAAAATATAACAGATAAAATATTACGAAAAAATCTTTAATCACCAAAAGTTAACTTTAAATATAAGTTAGACACTTACTTTTACATCAAGCCTTGTAATTTTTGTTAGTAGTGTTAAAATTATCAAATATGGTATATTTAATTTATTTATCGATTGATTTTGATAAAAAAAAATATTAAGTATTTATTTTAAAATATTTATATTTTAAGATCGAATATTCATTTCGCTATTTTTCATGGGTTTAGGAGTTGGGTTTATACCACAATCTTTGATCCATTAAACTATCGAGTACCCATTTTTTTCTTATATTAAGTTTTCCGTTCTCAATTCTTAAATTATTTTATCTAACCTTCTAAATTATCTTTAATCATTTCTTTTAACCTCGAAGAATTTTAAATTTACTTGTATATCTTTTAAAAATTAAGTTTCATCTTTGGATTAATTAATTTAATTTTTTTAATTCTAATTTTGAATTATGTAGTTACTTCATGTATTTAGAAAAATAATATAATTTGAAAAAAATATAGAATAAATATTCGCCACTCAAAACTATAAATGCTGGACTTTTACAAATATCTAATTATCACGAGTTGGATTTTCCATGTGAATTTACTTTGGAAGTTCTTTTTCCTTAACATTGTCACTAAAATAATTGACACCTTTAACTATTTACTTAACTAACATTATGTATATAATAAGGGCATTAAATTACGCTAGATTAAAGTATAAAGATTAAATGTTAAATTTAAGTATATTGATGGATCTCTTAATTGTTCAATTGAAACGTTAGTAATAAATTGGAGTTCTATTTTCTAACCTTGAAGAGGGTCCCAAGAGCATCTAGACTGAAGAGAGCATGGTTTGCAGATTGTATACAATTTGGTTGGAGAGAAACGATGACCAAATTGGAGAGATTGAAGAACTTGGAGGATTAAACGATGACCAAAGCTTAAAGTCCATTAGCAAGCACCCATGGTACCATAAGAGAAAGTTGAGGATGATTCTGCTGAGCTATAATGTAATATAGGTTAAAAAAAAGAAAACTTTAGATGTAATCGATAATGTGATAAAAATCATAATATTTTAGGTTAGTCGTAACTTAAAAATGTTACATTCTTCGTAACATTTATAACATTTTCAATTGAACTTAAAATTTTACAAAGACTGTAACATTTTCAGTTCAACACAAAATATTATAATTTTTATCATATTTTAAATTGTGTATAAAATGACTGCTTTTTAATCTTAAATTATGTTGCGGTCTCTTTCACTTGCCGGAAAAAAGAGAAAAACAACGGTAATAAGGTCAATATTAGCTGCCTTGGTTTGCAAGGCTAATAGTGACAAAGATCTCAATCTAAACACAATGTTTCTTCATTCTTTTTGGGTGATAATGCATTTGGATTTCAGACATAATCATCATATTAAAAAGAAGTAAAAAAAATGATGACAATTAAGTCAAAAAATGCATGCATGTAGGAGATACGGATCAACCTTTTCTTTTTCATTAATAATTGGGCCATCCTCCCAATTGTGTTCCATTTGCCATGCCAAATCTTTAATTTTCAATGCATTACTTGTTGTTTGTTTTTCCTTGAAGGGCAAGGTTAGGGTAGGGATGGCAATATGGTGTGTCGGGTGCGGATACCCCTCACCCATCCCCATACCCAACTGGAGACGTACTCGGCTAGACTCGCCTGACAGCATATATCTTATACAATATTAAGATTTATAAATTAGTCTCTAAAATTATATAAACTCGTAATGGTCCAAAATTTAATGGGTATTTAGTGGGCGGGCGGATGTGGGCAGGCGGATGCGGGGCGGGCGGATGTGGGGAAGGCGGATGCGGGGCGGGCGGATGTGGGGCGGGTATGATCTCAAACCCATCACCCGCCCACTACCCGCGATGGGTACCACTTTCTAAATCCACACCTGCTCACTACCCACTAAAGTTATACCCATCCCCGCCCTAGTTAGAGCGGATACGGTACGAAATTCACGAAACTGTACCCGTTTGTCATATGAGGTTAGGGCAAAAGCAATTAATGAAATAAATAAATACAACAAGGAGCCATATCTGAAAATGCCATAAAAATCACCACATGCTGCATGGTAAATACTAAACACATTTGGTATTTTGCTTTGATTTCTTTTACCAACCCAAGGCAAAAGTGGAACCCAATCACGTGCATTTATATATTATTGACACTATTCCCCATGTTACCGGAAATGCACAAGACTTTCCTCTTGGCTTTAACCAAACTCATCACACTAATTGAAGAAATTGGACAGTGATTTGTGGTTTCTCCTTTCTTGAGTTGGCCAAGAGTCACCCGTGGACAGTCTAAGACGAAGGGTATAATAATTTTATTTTATAAAATATTATTAGGATGTAAAATCACCAAGGGTATAATGTTTACCTTTAAAGTAACATATTGTTCCTTCGGAGTTATTTGTTTCACCCAACTAGTCTTTGTCTCTTGATTAACTTGTCTACATATTTAAGAGACCTAACAAGACCCAAATTTATTGATTGGCATTTCTATTTATTTATTTATTTATTTATTTATTTTGTCGATTTACATCTTCTCTTCATTTACATCAACCATCAATCATCGAACAATTATTCATTGTGTTGTCCGCCTAAATCAGAATATGAAGGAACCACCAACAATTAATATAATCACATAATTTTCATCAACAAAATTCAAACCTAAAATCTCAAAATATTCAAAGTCTTATCCAGGACGGAGCCAGGATTAGATATTGTCAGGGGTCAAAACATTTTTTTTTAAATATAATAGATTATTGACTATTTAAACTTAAAATTTAGAAGATAGTGTCTAATTTGTCTAATATTTAGACTTATAATGACCTAAATTATTATTAGACCAAAAAATCGAGTATATTGAATTATCATTCTTTAGTTCGACCCCTAATTGATTAAATATTTAACAACTAATTATATTTTTTAATTCAAATAATTATTTTACATTAATTAAAATACTATTAGATCAAAATATATTAAACATTCCGCCCCTGGTCTTATCTGTAAATCTAAACATCGTTTTTATAATACTATCTTTTGGGCCCATGTTAGCTTTATGAGATTTGAATTCTTATAACAATGTAATCGTTGAAGGACACGCCGTGATGATATGTTGTTTGATATTCCCTCCACCTGAAAGCACCACTTGTTTCCCAGCGAAGGAGCAGATAGTGGTGGCGCGTGGGCCTCACACACCACTTGTCAGGGGACATTAGCAGCAACCTTGGGGATTTCAATCCCGACCTTGATTCGTCATTTTACTTTGAGAATAAAATTGGAGACGAAACTCGAAAGGGACGCAAACGACTTATCCGATGGTGATGCCTCACCCACTTGGCACATTTTGTGCATCTGACGGCTCTCCGAATCCCACTTCTACACCAGTCCTTTTCCGCCACATTTTGTGGGTTTCAAAATGAACAGGAAGAGGAAATTATAAAATTGAAACGTATAAAAATATATTTTAATAAAAGATACCAAAAAATTATTTAAAATATCTAAAAATTTAAAAACTTTTAAGGAGAATCATCCATCTGCCCCTTGATCATCATTGCACGCACAACTATAAAACCATAAGCTTATTAGTGTCCACATTGATTATTACAACCATTCAATAACAAAAACTCATACCGTATCAGAAAATTGAATGGGTGAAAAGTTTCAGTTGTCCGTGCAATCCATTAAATCCAGCTATGAACTGTCAGAAATCTAAGGGTAATTAATTTAATTTACTTTAGTTACGTGCCCCCAAATGAAAGGGTGGAGCAACTGTAAAATTATTTTAGACAGAGGAAAGAAAAGATACCGGTAGTTATGCCGTATGATAGTTAAGAAAATGTGTTTTTGAAAATATTAATAATTTTTTAATATTTTTGATAAAAATTATTTAAAATATTATTTTTTATTTAAAATGTTAATTTTTTAATATTTTCGGTAAAGTGTTTAATATTAATATTTTCAGTAAAAAAATAATGTTTTATGCAGTAATTTACCGTATATATTAAACATTTTCTGTAAAACGTTCAATAATAATATTTTCGGTATAAATAATAATATTTTAAATAATTTTTACGGAAATATTAAAAAATAATAACATTTATAATAACATCTTTATTTAGCTGTATATTAAGATCGCTTAACCTGATACTTTTCTAAAAGATACATTTGTAATTTTTAAACCTGGTGTACTCACCCCCACAAAATTTCATTACCAGACTGGACTTTATTTTGTTTGAAAAAAAACACAGCATTGGTCCGAGTATAAGCAAAATGTGGACATTTATGAATGCGCCTGCATGTAATATTATAAATATAATCCACATTTGAGTGAAAGGAAAACATTCTCG